AAAAAAAAAAAAAAAAAGAGAAAGAGAGAGAGAAGGAGAAGGAGAAGAAGGAATAATGGTGAGGGGGAAAACGGAGCTGAGGCGTATAGAGAACGCGACGAGCAGGCAGGTGACGTTCTCGAAGAGGAGAAATGGGCTTCTGAAGAAAGCCTTTGAGCTCTCTGTGCTCTGCGACGCTCAGGTGGCCCTCATCGTCTTCTCCCCCCGAGGAAAGCTCTATGAGTTCGCCAGCTCCAGGTCAGCCCTCCCCTCCTCTTCATCACATAATTTTTGCCTTTCTCATCTCTTGATCCAATGTTTAAAACTTTCCTTCTCATTTAAGGAGTACGAAGTATTATTATTTTAATCACTAGCTCTCTCTAACTCATTACTATTAGTTACCATCTAGTAATTAATTATTAGGGGTCTCCAAATAAGGGGACTTCAAATATTCTTATTACTCTACTACATCCACTTTTAACTCTTTTAACTTATACCATTGTTTCACTAGAGGGCCTCAAATTGAGGTTTCAAAACTTTATTTTTTTTATTTTTTAATATGCTTTCTATAAATTAAAATTAAGAAAATTTTGATCACAAGGAAGAGTTATTTGGAATGGACTCTTTAATTTTGATTTTGATGTGACTGGTAAAACATTGTGTGATGAGTATATTATTAGTGAAAGACTATGTTCTGATAAGTAGGGTAAGAAAACGTAGGGATAAAAATAATTTTCGTATTAATGAATTTTTAAACACATGACCTGATGTTTCGAGCCGAAGCTGACATCTTTGAGTATTCATCGAACATGTCACTAGCAGTTCCGTACGCCATCTGACGAAGTGCAATGGTACATTTCTGGACGCTGCTAGAACCATGCCGACCTCTTGTATCAAATCGTTGGGTCAGCCAAAGAACTCGTTCAATATCATGTAGTAATCTTAAAAACAAGGGACAACTCATTTGAAAATCGCTACTAAAATAGAAAAGGAGGGTATACTAAAAGAGGGCGCTATTGTTAAAAATAGAAAAAGAAATCTTCCATTCTTCTGCGTTAAACGTTTGACACAGTACGTTTAACATCACCTAGCTTAATTCTAGAGTGTGATGGTGTTTAACGTCATAATGTTATTAAACTGACGTTTTACGGGGTCGGCGTTATACCCATTTCGAATGGTCGTATAAATTCAATCCATATATGTATCTATTATAGATAGAGGTGGCATTAATTTCATCACCAAGGTTCCCATGACATTGGGTTTCAATGTCATGGGAACCCCACCCTAATTTCATATGTATATATAAACATGTGTTGATATTATCAAAAGGTCCTTAGCTAGCTGGACTACACAGTCCTTTTGTACTATATTGCCAAAAAGAGGAATCTCAACCATTTTTCATAAGATTTTCTGACAAATTAAATTTTGGAGTGACAAGTTAAATAATTGTGTTTCTTATAGGTGGAAGGGCTCAATGTTTGGGTCAAACCCTGATATTAACATTTTTACAACTTTTTTCTTATCTCAGTTATGCTTCTGTTTTTTTATATGTATGTACATCATAATTAGCATGATTGAAATTAAATGATTTTACTTGTACACATGAACTAATTAATTAATTAGTGTATGTCTGTATACTTCAATTCACAAATTAGCTAGCTTGTAATGAAACTACACGGACTACTTGAAACGAAATTAATTACTTGAAGACTTGACTTTATAATCATGATAAATTAATTATGTACCCTGATCAGAATAAAACCTTGGAGTATATAAATAGTAGTATATGAACTGAATACCGTAGTACTCCTTTCGTTTTTTAAAACATTTTTTCTTTCATTTTTTCCCATTTTCCCTAAAATATTTTTATTTTCGTAAAAAATGACTAATATACCTAAATTAAGTCCTTGCAATATACTTCATTCAATTTGCATGCATTGATATAATAAGTCATTTTAATGATTTGTCTATTTGTTCTTCAATATAAAGATATAATTAAAAAGTCAAACTACGAAAATAAATTCATTCCAAGTCAAAACATGAATTGTTTTAATAAAGAGATAAGAGGGAGTACTATATACTACAACTACTACTACTATTATTTTATTGTTGTTGTTCTTGTTATTAGAATGCATGGTCAATGCTCAAATTTAATTCATGCCGTAGCATATACACACATAATTTATTATATGTGTTGCTATATTTCAATTATAAAAGACTGCAGTTCGCCTACATATATGCTTATGAATTGTGGGTAGTATATCATACTCCCTTAGTCCCAAAAAGAATGAGACAGTTTGACTTTTTAGGAAATTAAGGGGGGATATTCTGGTATTGATTTTTCCAAAAATACCCTTGATGTGATGGGTAAAAGTAGGATGTGATGGGTAGATTACTAGAAAAAAAGTATGATGTGATAGGTAGGGTATGAAAAAGTAAGGGGTAAAAGTGGTTTTTTAATAGAAATGTAACGGACTTTACGGGACACAGTTTTTTCTAAACGTAACAAACTTTTTGGGACGGAGGGAGTATAATCCTCTAAATAAACCTTAATATAACACGGAGTAATAAAAGTGACATGTTATGATTTCGATTCCAGTGTCTTAATTAGATCATATTACGGCCAGAAATGAATAGTAAAATATACTTTCTCCGTTCCATTAAACCCTTTCACTTTTGACTTTAGGCAACAATAAAGAAAGTCTAATTTTGGGTGACTTTCCAATTTTGCTCCTGATGTGATGGGTAAAAGTAAGATGTGATAGTTTTATTATTAGTGAAAAAATATGATATGATAGGTAGGGTATGAAAATGTAAGAGTAAAAGTGGTTTTTTTAAATAGAAAGTGGAAGTATTTTAGGAAATTCAAAAAAAAACAAAAGAGGAAGGGTTTTATGGAACGAAAGGAGTAGAAATGAAGATTCTTTTACTATAGAAATGGATAGTAAAATATAAAAAATATATTTACAAAATTGTTATTTTTTTTTGGCTGTGGGCTATAGTGGAATAAATAAAAATGGTTATTTAAAATGTTTATGCTTCTTTTAATAGTGAAGTAACCGTTTGTCAATGCAACTTTCGACGTTCATCATGGGTCATTCAGAAATAATGACTCTATGTTTTAAACATAAGGGTCAGACAACGTACGTTATTGCTTATGGTGCTTGAACCGGGGATCTCTTTAGAAACAGGCTATCTACTTTCAAGTAAGAGTAAGGTCTTCAATTCGTACACCTACCCTCTTCAGATCCTATTTTTGTGGGATTCAATTGAATAGTTGTTGAATGTACAAAATCAACTCACACTATAGTGGCTCACTCAATCTTCAGGATAAAGACTTTTCAAGCTATCTCTTTTTGTACCAAGGGAGGATCTCTAATTTAACTTTCTAGCTAATCTCACTTTAAGAAGTGACTTCTCTCTTGATTTTTAAATCATTAGACATGAGCCTCTTACCTCAATTTATACTACTCCACATCCATAATCAATCTTCAAACTTCTTTGTTAATATTAGTATATTACCTTTGTCTTCATGCCAAACCAATTCTCAAGTATATGAACATTGTCAAGATGCTTTTTTTTATGACTCCTCGGATCAAATTGTACCAAGTGTTAATGTGCTTTGTGCGTGAATGAAATGTTGAGTTGTTTGCCAATTCTAGTAACATGTTCTTCATTCACTACATCTCCTTGCAAGCTTTTGTAGTTGCAATGTACTCTACCTTAGTAGTAGATAATGTAACATACTTTTTGAGTTTTGATTTCCAAGAAATAACACCACTTACAAAGCATATTTTTTTCAAAGCATAAATATCTTTTGGAAGTTACACGTACTCATAGAAAATCTATATAGATCTCTTCGTCCTTATTCTTTTGGAATGTCATCTGCTTGTCTTAAAATTGAGTTGTTCAATCTCCCAATGTTACAGTGGTGCTAGGATAAGTACAACAAATATGGATGACATCTTTACCATGAGAAAAATAAAAATCAATACCTTTTTTTTGTGTGCATTCTTCAATGAGCAATTATGCTTTATAGGCTTTAAATTATTGTAATAGGTCATAATTATATATATTTACTTATTCTTAAAATATTTTCTCCCTTTTGGTAACTCTGGTAGTTCATAAATATGACTCTCATGCAAAGATTGCATCTGTTCTTGCACGAATCTTCCCCACTCTTTTTTATGAGTATCCACGATTAGTTTTATATAGATACCCCTCACCAATGAGTGTAATGCACAATTTTTGTTATAATAAGTGAAGATATTCTATCCCTTGAGGATTCTTCTAGTTCTTGTGTTGTGGTATATATAGATTACTAACACATGTTCATGATCTTCAACATCAATATTTTCTAGTGTGTCATTGTCTTTACATCAAACTAAATTGAGTCTCATGCTCTAATTGCTTCTTCATTTTGGCCTCTCCAAAATTTTAATATCTTGGCATGTTTGGTCTTTGATGAATTCAATGTCCCTGTTGTAAACAACCTTCTTGTTGATTAGATCCTAAAGTCGGTATTTGAATTCATATTTAAATGAATGTAGGTAGATGCAGTCTTGTCTTTGAGTAAAGTTTAGTTTGCCCATCTATGGAAAATGAGTACAATGTTTTTGGGCAAGTATGTGAAGATCCTTCTCATTGCTGTGTCTAAATTGTCTATGTCGTATCATCATTTCATCAATAGTGATGTTTATTACTCTTATTTGCAAAGCTTTGCTTGCATTACATATCATGATCCTTCTTTTCTTGACCCACAATTAAATTCCTTTGGTGAGCTTCCAGTTACTCTCACAAAAACCATTCATTAGACCTACGCCGTTTTGTTTTCCAACAGAGATAAGATTGAGGTGTATAGAGTTGTAAATGAGTAATCGAAAATTCAATTATCTTCTGCATCTCTATTCATCAATCTTCATTCCCATTTTTGGTAACGGATTTATGAGCCCTTAATGTTTTGTGAAATTTGCATTGAATAGGACTAAAACATAAGTCATTTCACAATGTAGGACTTAAACTTTTTTATTCTTTAAATAGGACTTAATAATGACTAGTGAGAAGAATAATGTCCAAGTGATGCTGGACATTTAGTTGAATAATGACTAATAGATAATGACCAATGATCCTACATTGGGAAATAAAAACATATGGTACTATTTTGAAAAGGTCATTATGTTTGAGTATTATTTAGATAAATTACCCTAATGTTTTCAAGCGTTCAATCATACCATGACCATCCTTACACTCTAGTTTCACAAATTGTCAAACATAATTAAATTTTTGTGAGATATTTTCTTTTGAATCTAGGTCTCAAGCTTTGTTCTTAGTTCATAAGCATTTGTTTAAGTAGAAACATTCTTTAATACTTTTGAAGACATTAAACACTTTGAGGTACTGGTACAAACTTTCTTACCTTTCCATAATTCGTAAGAAATGTTATTGCCCATCTTACGAGACACCTTATTTTTACTTGACAAAACTTAACATTAGGCTTACCAAATAAGTATTCATACAAAGCAAGCCCATTAAAAAATAGATAGTAATTATTGGTTAAAGCAACAAAAACAAAAACAACCTAGTTGAATCGCAAAAAATAAGGTCTGGGGAGGGTGTGTGTAACATTACGCCTACTCGAAAGTAGAGAGGCTGTTTGCAAAGAGACCCCCGACTTAGCATCGAAAGTTGCATGATTGACTAACTGCTACTTCATTAGTTAAAGAAGAGCAAACAGTTATAGAGATCCATTTTGTTTTATTTAATTATACCCTAAAGCTAAAGATGGTATATTTTTCACTCCATCGGGGATGATAGAAATCAGTTATAGGTTATAACATATAACACAAATTAGACGTCAATAAAATGTGTGTAACAATATATCATAAAGTCAAATATCTTCCAAATTGGCAAAAACTACAGCAAAAATCTCAAGAGCATAATAACAAATGAGTCATTAGGAAGTTAGTACGAAAAGACTTTTGCAATGAAAAAGGATTCATCAACATGCATGTTAGTACATAAGGCTCACCCATCACATATAAGGGTCATGATTGTGCATATAGTATTTTGTCACATATAAGATTCAACATATGACATTTATGTGCATATCCAACAACGAAATCCAGTATAGCACAAGACAAAGTAGGATTTGGAGAGGGTGAGTGTACACATGCATTACCACTACTATAAAGTAGAGAGGTTGTTTTCAAAAGACTCCTAGCTCAAACATATCCCAATACCAATAATGTAGATGAGTAAAAAGCAAAGAGAGCGAAGAAGCACCTTACCAATTCAAACAGCAAGAGCTGAAAATCCACTCATACACGTTGGCTACAAACTACCAAAAGCCAAAAGGCAAAGACACGGTAGACAAAAGAACGTCGTGTAATATTTTTCAACAAGATGTTTGTACCCGAGAAACACTTGAAATATTTTTGATTTTTTAGGAGATATAGCCAGATATATTTTGTGAAGTGATCAAAAATGACATAATGACGGTACCCATCATATGAAATTTCAGAACAACTCTAAACATCAGTATAGATTAGTTCAATGGGTTTGTGGCTAATAAGAGTATTTTCATGAAATGACATCTTGTGACTTTTAATAGACTCCATTAAGATTGGCTCTGCAAAGGATACATGCCCCTGATTTCAAATCCTTCACCTAAAAATAAGAGGAAAAATATTCAACAGACACATGGTTAGTGACATTATTGTGAAAGAGAGACAATGTTTTTGTGAAGATTTGAAACACATAAAATATTGGTGAGTGAGAGGAGATGAGAGAGTGTAGAGATAAGTGTTTGGCCAATGTGAGTGATTTTCAAACCATTATTGTTACCCAAGCATATCTCATCAAAACCATCATAGTAAGAGAAGGACTACAAGACATGTAGAGTTGGCACGGTGTGGTGGCTAGCGCCACTGTCAAAGAGCTACATGGACATGAAGGTGTTGGATGTCATAGTAGAATTGACTAGGGATGATGGATTTAAGTGTTGTGGAAAATTGGAACAAAGCCATGCTCACGAAGAAAGCAGTCAAGCTTCCGAAAAACCTTGGCATCATGACCAGGGATGTTGTAGTATTGACAAGAATCGGAAGAGTGAGAGATCGACGAACGGGGTTGGTATACCCTTCACGATCGTGACAACCATGTGGCAACCCGATTGGTGGACGTTTGAGAGCTCTGGTCGCTGTGATACCGCAGGGACTAGCTAGCCCAATGCGTGGCATTTGTAGTGATAATAAGTGTTTGGTGTGCTTTGTCTGAGGCCTTTAACATATCCTCATGATCTTTAAGAATGTCATTGAGTTTGGTGAATTGTGTCAAGGTTTCACAAACACGTGCAAAGAAAACAAGGACTCGTATTTGTTAGAGTCTATCCCATATTGAAAGTTGAATAAAAAAAGTAACCGGTATATAAGCTCTTGAGTTGAACTAAGCAATCGATTGGATTCAATCTTTTAATGTGGTTCAACTCAAGTATCTTACTGCCTAGTCCAGTGATCACTGCTCCATCCTAAATTTTATCATGGTATCAAAGTAGGTTTTGGCCCACCTCATTTGTCAAGGTGTCCATCTAGACGTTCTTTCTTAGCAGCCCGTTTGTCTTTAGCTTGGTTGTCCGTATGGAGTATGTACCCAATGGCCTGTGGCTCATTTAACCCGATTGCTCATCTGAAAGTCCATACCTAGCGGCTCGTGGTCCTTTGGGAGTTGACGCTAAAAAAATCAAGGAGTTGAGAATCCATTTGCAAGTGGTCAACCGGTTAGATTCAAAATGGACCAGTTGTCCACTTGAGGGAGAGTGTTAGAGTATATCCCACATCGGAAGTTGAATAGAAAAAAGTAATCGGTATATAAGCTCTTGAGTTGATCTAAGTAATTCAATCTTTTAATGTGGTTCAACCCAGTCTGATTCCTACCCCATCCTAAATTTTATCATTATTCATCTCCAACCTGATTGAGGACACTGACAACCAGATTTTCTTCGGACACAAGGCATTAGATAAGTGCAAGTTCATTTATAATTGATTGCATATCATGAATGTAATTAACAATGGAGCGCGTGACACATGTGTTTTTCCCAAGCTTCAACTTCAGGGTAACGACACGCTCCCTACTTTTGTTCGCAAAACTAGAGTGCAAGTTGGTCCGTGCTTCCTGGGATGTTTTTGCATTGGAGATGAGAGGTTAAATCGGTCGAAGAAACTGCAAAGGAGAGCACTGACAGTGGATTGATCTTGTATGACCGGACAGAGTAACAGGGTTTGGCGGTGTTGTCAACAACCTTTGGAGGTGGCGTGGGGAGCCATCAATGTAGCCTAGAAGATCTAGGCCAATGTGCGTTGATCGAACTTGGTGTTGCCAGATTGAGAAATTGGTGGAAGTGAGTTTGATGGGAAAACGTGTTTTTGCATGCAGTTGCAGACCGATGGTGTCTTTGGTAGGTGTTGGCAAAGAACACACACGAAAAAAAGAGGATCACTAAGGGAGATGATGAACTCCTTTAGGCTTCGATACCATATGAAATATTAACTCAAAAATATAGACTAATGTTGAAGGTTACAAACCATGCTCCATATACAAGAGAATTAATCACTAGTAATAAATTTTACAAAATGCCTACATATATGAGAATATTTACATAATGAAAAAGGAGTTACAAAATATTAAAATAAGAAAATTAATAATTATGAATTATTAGTATTGTTATTTGAATTGTTATTAGGTGTAATAGATGAAACGGACTATGAAAGTTAGCCATGTTGATGAAATCATTCAGCACTTTGGCTAACTTGACAATGAAAGTTAACCAAGCTCAAACTTGGATAAACTATATCAAAATGAACTCAAATGAGTATTTCTTGCTCTTGTTTAGTTCATTTACAATCATTCATTCTTCATTTTTTTGTAGCATGGTTCTAAACAGTTCATCTAGTGAGTGGATATTTCCATGATCACTTCCAAACTTGATACATTCACCTTATTTTTTTAGTTTGTTTCTCATGAAAACATACTTTAATTTTGGTGCTAATATCAATTTTGGAAGCTCACAACTCTTACTCTCATCTCATTACTCTGATGTTCATAAATCATTTTAATTTATGATTGCCCACTTTGCAGTAAAAAAAACCTATAGTCTTCACAGTATGACATTTTTTTAATGCTCGGCCTCAGCAGCATGCAGGAGATTATAGCGCGATATCGCAAGCACACTGCGGATCGTCAGGGTGAAAACCCCTCGGTGGAACACGAGGAGGACTTGCAGGTTACTATTACAATATTACCCTCCTTTATTCTCTATCTCTGAATGGATCTGTTCAAGATGGCATGAGAAACAAAAATGAACTTATTAGCTTAAGCCTGAATGAATGAAGCTTGTTTGAACTTGTAGCATTTGTTGCATGAAACTGAATACCTGGCCAAAAAAATAGATTTCCTTGAAGCTTCAAAGAGGTACATATGTATAAAATGTGATTCCATTATTTGATCTTGAGGTATTCTTTGTTGTCTCCTAATAAATTTAGTACTAAATTAGAAGCAAATTAAATGATTTACAGGAAACTTCTGGGTGAAGATTTGGGATCATGTGGCATGGAAGAGTTACAGCACATAGAGCAACAGTTGGAGCGGAGCGTGAGCATCATCCGTGCACGAAAGGTACGTAATTAACGAACTGCATGTGAACATTTATTTTTTCAAAATTAAAGCTGGTTAAATCCAAACTTGTGACCTTTAGATCAACAGCGCTTTGATATATATCGTCCTCTTTGTTCATATATGTTGTTTTCAGATGGAAGTCTATACTGAACAGATTCAGAGATTAAAAGATAAGGTTAAGCTTCTGCTAGTTTCCATGTTAAGGTTGCCTTTTGACATCAGTCTGATTAACAAAAAAAAACCAAATTTACTGATATTCATGTCTTTTTATCAATGGCAATATATACATATATATAGGAATCATTGCTAACAGCTGAGAATGCAATACTCCGGGAGAAGGTGATAAAGTATTTTAGTTCATTTCTTGAAGAAAAGTGATAGCATTAATGTTGGCTTAGTTTATTGACTTACCAATATAATCTTCTTCAGTACAAGTCATTGGAACCAGCTGAGAAAGTGGCAAATGAAGGGAATGAGAGGGATGCCCTTTGTGGGGAGGGCAGTGAGAAGTCAGATGTGGAGACTGAACTGTATATTGGACTGCCAGAGAGTAGGGCAAAGCCAGACCCCCCTGTTCTCCTTCAACCTACAGCTAATACTCCTACTTATATGCGATAAGGGTAAGGTCTGCGCGCACCATCCTTCCCAGACGCTCTTCTTTGTGAGATTCTACTGGATTTCTTGGCTTTGTTGTTGTTGTTGTTGTTGCATACATAGATATTCATCTTCATCCATTTCCAATTTGAATTTATAAGCAAAGAATAAAACACCTATGTGTATAGCAATTAAACGCGAGTGGCTCATTTAGTTGCAACTGTAAACTTAAATGGCAGCCCTCAAATAGTTCCAATGCTCAGCTGAAATGTCCTGTTGTTGTAGTTTTAACTGCTTGAAAAACCAGCCTTTGCAATGTGGGTTGTTTTGGTGCACATGATTTTAGCACAACTCTCTAATGATCTTATTTCAGCGTTAAGAGAATCCCGCATCGTAATAAGAAAGAAAACATATGTGTTCATATATAAGATATCCCATGCTGAACTAGCTAGTTAATAATCATATGGATTTAAGCATTCAGTCTAGAACACAGTTGAGTTTAGTGATTTCTATCTACTCTTAAACTCTATCATATCACTAATGTTGAAATATATATGTTCTTCCATGCCCACATTTGCAGCTAGACTAAGACTAGATAAACAACATATGATATAAATACCACCAAAAGAGAAGACTCCAGTATAATGTACTATGCATATATGTATATATAGTAGAGGACTTTACCAAAAGTATACGTATATATGAATAACTATATAGCTAGGTAGAAGATGGGTTAGGTAGGGTGGGTATGGTTCAGAAAGGTGAAAAGTTCCAGCCGTGGTAAAAGTTGCACTCCGATTCAATGTCCCTTGTCCCAGAGGATCCTACTTCTGCCCCCATATAGTGATCATACCTGCACCCATGCCATATGTATGTATACATACATATATATTGTGTCTGGTCAAGTGTAGAACCTTAATTGAGGACAAATGGAGAGCGAAAAAGAAACACATACCCGATTTGGAGAAAGGGTTGGGGGCCGTGGTCGGATTGAGAAGGTTGTAGGAGATGAAAGGAGACACATGGGGTGGATTGGTTGTTGTTGTTGTTGTTGTTGTTAGAGGTACTATTGTTATTATTCCAGGGGAAGAAAAAGCTGCCTCCAGCTCCTCCTCCTCTTCCCCCTTCAAGCTGCAGATGATCATAAATGCATATCAGAGAAATAAAAACACTTCCATCAACTATATATATATATATCCTCCCTTAGTCCCTAAAATCATAATTAACTTTTTGAAGATGAAATAAGAGGAGTACCAATGACAATTCTTCTGAAACTTTGATCTTCAGCTGCTTATTCATATCAATTAGATGCCTCTCCTGCTTATTCATTACTCATATATTATATATATGTATCAAATTCATTTGTTTCCTTGAACAGTAGAGTACATTCTAATTGAAACTCAAAATTATTGGAAAGTGGAAAAGTTTGAACCTTTCTTCGAAGTTCATCCATCTGTTCCATCAGAATTCCAGCCTGCATATATAAACACATACACAACCCATATACTACTCATTTTGCATGCAAAGGATACAAAAGAAAGTTAAAGTTCTTCATCACATATGCAAGCAAGCAAAAAAAAACACAAAATTCTGCAAATCAAAACTAACCCTTCTTTGCCTGGCTTGTGCAAGAGCACTTTCAAGCTGTTTCTCAAGATTGTCCAACTCTCTGATGTCGAGTTGGCCCAGATCTTCCCCAAGCAGATTCCTGCAATTCACCAAACAAAACCAGCAAATGGTATTGTATATGGGACATGTTTTTTTTAAGGTGAGAGCAGTGTATAATGTGTATGTATATGGATGACCTTTGAGTTCTTTGAAGAGATTCATACGTGGCTTTGAGTGTTAGAAACTCGTCAAGGTACGGGCAGTTCTGTGTAACAAAAATGTGCAACAAATTAAAATTTTGATTTCAATAGCGAGATTAACCGTAAACTGTTGTCGCGTTACAGACCGTGAAAAATTAAATTGGAAAGAAAATATGGACAGGGCATAGGGAGAATAACTAATTGGTTGCATCTATATACACATCTGATGATTAATTTGGCAAAAAAATCATTATACACACACACACATATATATATATATATATGGGGATGGAATTGGAACCTGCAGCTGGGTTTCTCTATCTCTACCAGCAGTGGAGATTTGTTGTTGAGTAAGATTAAGTTTGGAATTTTGGTAGCGCTCAAGGGTTTTGATCATGCCGCCGCTGCAAGGAACATATATGCAGAGAGGTTTTTAAGAATTACACAAAGAGAGAAAATTGAATTACAAAACATTTTCCTTGTAATGAAATAAAATAAACGCTACTCCTATAATATATTGCTGTAAAATGCTAATGGGGTAGTGGGAATTTGTTTTTTTGTTAGACCACGGGTGTTGCCCTTGTTTAAGGCCTAAAGACAAATTTCATTTTTTTGAAGTGCAAAAGCTATTCCTGTTGTAATAAAAGAGTAATGCTGGAGTCACAAATAAACAGTTCAGATCACAAAATTCATAAATTTGCTTTTTTAATATTTCATTATGAATAAGATGCACCCAAATAATAAAAGATTATTTTAATTTAAAATTCATAGATTTATGAAGTTTGTGAACTATTTGTCTGTGACTCTACTATTTTCAATAATAAAAAGCATATATGAAGAGAGTTTACGTGGCCAGACAAAATTAAAACTTTAGGCTCTCTTTGGTTGGAAAAAATATTTTTCTAAAAAATGTCAATTCTAATTATCAATATTTGGTAACATTTATAAGAGGTGAATTCGAAAATAAAAATTGAGAAAAAAATATTTTGCAAAAAAAGGAAAAATGACTTGCGTTTTTACTTTGGAAAGAAGTTTAATTTCATAGTCGCTAGTCCAACGCATCATGAGGTCGGCGGTCGGAGGTTGGCCTTTGATAAAAGGATATAAGCATCGTCCTTGTTCAAAGGGGTCATTCCAATCCCTTAGCATGATCTTACGAATCCAATTATATTAAGTCATTTCTCTAAATAGCACTTAGATTGTTTTCTTCCCTAAATAGCACTTTATAATGTCCATAATGACCAGTGATGACAAACATTTACTTGAATAATGACTAATGGATAATGACTAAAAGTGCTAGGGAAAGTCATTATGTTTTAGTGCTATTAAGGTAAAATCCCCTTATATTAAATCTAAATTATAATTAAACACAATATTTTTCTTAGCTAAATATAAAATAAAATTAACACACAAAAAAATCAAGACAAAGTTTTTTGGAAGGATGTGAGTATGAGGGGAGAAGTATTCGTCTACTTAGCAAAAAAAAAAAAAACTAGTACGTACAAACTGTAAACTGACAAATATACCACTGATGGGTACTTGTAACAAATTAAATAAAAGTTGGTCGTCGGTCAAACTTTCACACTTACATGAAACATCTCTGTTCTGTTCCAAATGCATAAAAGATCGATCATGAGTCATCACAAAGAATTGAAGTTGCACCAAAATAAAAATAAAAAAACATCATCATAATATTCATATTGTACGGTTAATTAAGGATTATCCAACATTATCGTCCTAATAATTACGTTTTGAACACTCAAACTGAAAAAAAAAAGTTGCTCGGTATATATATAAATTTCTCTTTCCATTATTCTCGAGTGTTCTTTGGAAGTAATTAAATCTCACAATTTTAACAATTATTCAACCAAGAAAATAAAGATTATTACAGAAAGAAAATTAAATGAAGACATAGGGAAGAAGACAAAAGTTGATCATCATGATGAAGATGAGGTAAACTAACCCCACTTTCCCGTGCTCAAATTATCCAAAAAAATAAATAAAAAATGGGGTTTTAGTTGATGAAGCGGATTATTTATTACTAATTGATTCGTGAAATCCCCACCTGTAATTAATTAATTAAACACGAATTAGTTAATTAAAGTGAGAGTTTCTACTTGATGACTATTAGCGAGAAAGAGAGGGAGAGAAACCCTAGCTAGCAGGTAAATTAAATTAACGTTAAACAACAACAACAACAACTAAAAAAAGCTCATAACATATCATCATCATCATCATCATCAGTAAAATAAAAAATAGAAAAAGAGAACAATTAATGAATGAAATGAAAAGAGAAAATGTATGTATGTATGTATGATAAAAATGAAAACCTGGAAGTGGCAAAGTGGAAAAGCTTGCCGCGGCTGGAGAAGACGATGAGGGCAACTTCGGCATCACAGAGAACGGAGAGCTCAAAAGCTTTCTTGAAAAGCCCAACTCTTCTCTTTGAGAAGGTGACCTGCCTGTTTATTTTGTTCTCTATTCTCTTCATTTCCACTCTACCCCTCCCCATTCTCTCTCTCTCTCTGGCCCGCCGCTACCTTTTAATTTCTTGATGATCTGATTATAATTAAGCAATTCAACCAATTAATGTATATATATATAAATCACTATATACAGGCGGCAGGTTGTGTAATATAATGTGACTATATATAAATGAAAGTACTCCCCGTATAAAAATAGAGAGCGCTTAATTACTATGCGGATACTCGGTATAAAAATGTGGCCGAGGCTAGCTATTATGACGACAATCTTCCTAGTGTCATATAATATGACATCCATACACTTGGAGCCCATGCGGTAATTCGATCAAAAAGAATTAATGATTCCTACTGCCTAATCCCAGCGATAAATCCCCAAGTCTGACCTGACCCCAAATCACCGTTGTACTACCTCCAATTGCACACGGAAATTTTGTTCACTTTCAAGTCAGATTGAAGGGGTCTGAAGGATCGGGCTGTGGTGGGGTCTATCAGAAGGTTAGGGGTAGGAATTATCAATTTTTCGATTAAATCACTGTAAGATGCTCGTGTCCTATTATGACTTCCAAACTACGTGTCAATATAACCCCAACATAAAAATATACGTACACCACGTCCCTAAAACAGAGCTACCTCTGATCTTAAACTAACAAAATTTAAAAAAAATGCATAATACCCACACATTTAGAGTAGGGTTGGGGTGGGGGCAGGGGTAGGGGGTTTATGGGGGCAGGAACCATTAATTTTGCAAACAAAGCACCGGAAGTACTGCTCCAAAGTGACAGTGACACCAGAGTGTCACCGTACTCCGGTGTCAATACTAGAACCTCACCGATTATAATTTACGGGGTAGTATATATATATTCATACATACTCCATATTATATCAGCCAATTGAGCCACTTTTCTAGAATTCTAACCTACTTAAATTTCTCAATCAAAACCTTTGGAGTGTTTCTTATGCCACTTAGTCCAGGGAGAAGTTCAAACATAACTTATTAGCTTCAACTTAACTCGTTCATTTCGAACGCGTTTGATTAAAACATTGGAAATAACAATTCTGCAAGGGAGTATTAATCTTTTTTTGGGGGACATACCAGGTTATCTATTTAAAATTAAACAACATATGGGTAACAAATGGGATTTAAAAAATGGAGGGGGGTAGCTATAGGGTAGGTGTGGGAGGGGGGACCTATGGTATAGGAGTGGTAATTCCTTTCCTCTTCCTTAAAAATGGCGAAGAAACACAGGTAAAAGGCTCAATCTTGACCCTTCTCTCGTAGCATCAAAATGGAAATTAATATAGTACATCCTCCATATATATATATATATATATGCCTCCTTTATATTTTTACGATTAATTCTTTTTTTATTGAATCCATTATATATTCCCTTATTCTCACTATTTTAGATAGTAAATTTTGGGTACATCATATCCAACAAAACCCGTTCTTGTTGGCCTCTCTCTAGCCTCTTTTTATGTCTATATGCTCTCATCACTTTCTTTTTGTGTTGTTGAGAATATTACAGTCCCGTTTGGTACACGAAATTCAAATTATGGAATTGGAATTGAGGACTTCAATTCTAATTCTGATGTTTAATAGCACAAAAATTATGTAGATTTGAAATTGAAAGTGCAAAAAATGAAATGGAATTGGTGAATTCAATTCTATGGAATTGAGTCCCATGAAATTTCAATTATAATTCAGTTTCAATTTCATCAATTCCGTATACCAGACGGTAGGGGTGTTCAAAAATATCCGATCCGAAATATCTGTCCACGATCCGGGCCGATTCGATCCGAAAAATGGATATCCGATCCGATATTTTAGCTTTCAGATATTTCGGATCGGATATCCGAAAAAAATCGGATCGAATATGGATTCAATTTCTGGAATTTTTTGGATAATCGGATATCCGATTTTTTTTTTGCATTATGTTTTTGGAATTTTATGGATATATATTATGACTATATGTTTAAATGTGATTTTATGTTGATTTTGGAACTCAACCATTTTGGACTTTTTACATTAGCATTTTAGAATCTTTTGTTTTAATAGTGTTTTTTTTGTTTGTTTAGGCAAAATTACCAAAGTTACTCCCAAATTAAATTTGATATCATTTTTTTTATTAGGCCATTACCTAGTGGTGAAATTTTTCTTTTAGTAAATCTATATTGGATTTGATATTTTGGATTGATTTTGCTATTTTACCTTCTTTTTTTGTAAATTTTGGCTAAAAACTCAACTTTTCGGATAATCCAGTGATCCGATCCGAAAAATCGGATATCCGAATATTTTCGGATCGGATATGGAATGAGTTTTACGTGATCCGAAATTTTCGGATATCTGAATTTTTGGATCGGATCGGATCAATCCGATTGAACACCCCTACCAGACGGACACTAATATACTCCCTCCGTCCCAAAAAGAATGGGACGGTTTGACTTTTTGGGAAATTAAGGGAGAGATATTTTGGTATTGACTTTCCAAAAATACCCTTGATGTGATGGGTAAAAGTAAGATGTGATGAGTAGATTATTAGGAAAAAGGTATGATGTGATAGGTAGGGTATGAAAAAGTAAGTTGTAAAAGTGGTTTTTTAATAGAAATGTAACGGACTTTACGGAACGCAGTTTTTTCTAAACGTAACAAACTTTTTGAGACGGGGGAGTATTTCCCTAGATCATTATAATCTTTTCCCCACGTGGGTGTACACATTTATATAAATAATGTTTCATTTCTAAATTAATCACAATCCTATAAATCTATAATTATATTTTTCCATAATTTCATAATTATTAAGCCTATGGTGAAGGGAGTAATACTCCATTTTTACTCGGTCAAACACTTAAAATCAATTCATATTAATTTGTTTTAAAAAAATATAGTCCATCATCGTTCAACTCTCCACGCAAGTCGCACTATATTCACCCACATTTGTGAAGTTAATTCCTTGTAAGTTTATGTGAATGGCAATAAATGCAAAAACTAAAAGAGCTAGAAAGGTAAAAGTAATATTATTCTTTCTCAAAATATTTGTCACTGCACATTTATCTTTTCAGTACTCACGAGAACTTTTGTTTATTTGTAAGTTTTTATTGATTATTTGATAGAATAAAATATTCTTGACATCTATTATTTTGAAAAAAATTTGTGTAGTTTTTAAATCTGTAAATTTTATTTTTTATTTCTATACCAATATGTAATTAATTAAAATACATTGAAAAACTTAATATTTTGTCTCATTTTTGAAATGGTGAAAAACATTTAGGACTGATGGAGTATCACAAAGAAATAGACAACGCAAGAAACTGTAAAAATTGCTAAATCATGTGACTTGCGGTTAATACTGCCCCAAATGGTAGATTTCAAAGGAGAATATCAAAAAGCTGTTCCGCGCAATTTTGGAAACTGTGGGTGTTATTTATCCTTCCATCAATTTCATCTTTTTTAATACTCCCTTCGTCTTCCTAAGATGTTCTCATTTTGACTTTTGGTAGTTTTTAAGGAGAGTTGAAAAAAGGTGAAAGTTTACCATAATACCCTTAATGAAAATGGATGGAGTGTATTAAATATTTAAATGAGGTGGGTGAGGTGTAATAAATAAAGTAAGTGGGGGTAGTGGTATTTTAATTGTTAAAAAATGAAATGGGAAGATCTATTGTGGACAAAAAAAAAGGACTATTGGGATGATCTATAGGGGACGGAGGAAGTAACTCAATGCCACTTCAGTTTTTATCTTTCTCATCATATTTCATCTCATTCTAAAGCTACGAGTCATGCTCATCCCTACAAAAGATTTTCCACTCGCCATACTTGACTCTTTACAATTACTATTCACATGGTCGGATTAATTCTTCTTTTTTAAAAAATATGTTTTCACATATTATGTGATAGATTTATGCGTACGTCGTACAGTCATGTTATCTTCTTTTTTTTGTAATTTTTTTATATAATTTTTTTAATTGTATACAAATTGACATATAAATTGAATTTAAAATAACATCTCAATAAAACATCATAAATTGTTTTGTGAAGAAACAAGTGTGATGAGGGGAGTAATAAAAAAGAAGTGAATAGTTGAAAAAACCAATTAAATAACAAAATACGAAAACTAAAACATGGAAAAGCAAGAAAAAATATTTCATCCGTCCCAAAAAAATCATTGAAATATCTGCCCTAAATAGCACTAAAACTTAAGTCATTTCTCTAAATAGCACTTAAATTATTTTATTCTCTAAATAGCACTTAATAATGTCCATAATGTCCAGTGATGGCGAATATTTACTTGAATAATGACTAATGCGTAATGACTAAAAGTGCTACATTGGGAAGAAAAACACATGTGGTGCTATTTAGGAAAAGTCATTATGTTTTAGTGCTATTTAAATAAATTTCTCATCATTATTTTCTTTTTGAAATTTTTCAAAAAAAGACTCATCTTTTCTTTTACGAAAAAAATTGAGTCATTTATAACTCTTCTCTCTACTTTGCATCACTTTCTACTACCAAGTTTTACTTTACTTAAATTTTGTGTCAACTCAAACTGGGAGATTTTTTTGGACAGAGAGAGTAATTCATGGCATGGCTAAGAATTAAAGGACACAATGGTCACTTTTGTTAGTGTTTTTGGTTCGATTATGATGTAGCATTATCTTTTTTTCAATCTAAAGAAATACAAAGAGTCAATGCTTTCGTCTCTGCTGAGAGCGTGTTTCTTACCACTCAAGACATTGAGAAGTTTGACATAATTATCACTTCAATGACTTGAAAAATTAAGATGGAGTGCAATTAATTTTTGAAGTACAAATAACAATAAGTCGCTTAAAAGGAACAATTCAAAAACAATACCCAATAATTATGTACTCCGAGTCCGACCTATGGCGAGTACTTAACACTTGTTATATGTATAAATATTTCATATATACCGTGACCGCTACGGTGCAAAATTTACGGTTCCTACCTCCTAATCTCCTCGGTAAACCTCCCACCCTCTCCCGACCCGAACACGTACATCCTCAGCGGCCTTAGCTTCTTCAATTGCACTCTGCAAGTTTATTTGACTTTGCACCTCGAATGTCACGAGAACCGTCCCGAAGGTACAAAATTGAAAATATATTAAAACGTTGGGGTTAATCTTGAATGTTCAAATAATACACTGGTAGCTAGGGGTGGTTGTAGGTTTCCTTAAGAGGAAAGGGGTGATTTATGGGGGCAGAGTATTGTGTGGTATCAATACACCTTTTTGCCATTTTCGGGGAAATCACTCCGCTCTCTCTTTATCCAGCGCGCCCACCTCCTCCTCCTCCTCCTGCTGCTGCTGCATGCAAGTGATCATCTCATATATGGCTCATAATATATATTCTCATCATCATTATTATTACTCCGTATTTATT